TGTCACACAGTGGCCAAAAATACCAGGTGCCATCAGGAGGTCCAGCAGTGGGGCTAGGACACTAGGAGCCCTCCCACTATTGACCCCCCTCCTCCTTTTTATCCACACAACAACCCTATTATGTAAGTTAGGCTGAAAGTATGTGACTCATCCAAAATCATCCAGTGAGCTACCACAACAAGATGGGTATCTAAACCTGGGTCTCGCAAATCCTACTCTGACCACTATACTGCACTGACTTTCATAGGGTGGCTGCTGTTGAACAGTAGCAAGCAGCCAGGCCTAGTTGAATCATGCAAGTCAGTTGGTATCAAGGCACCCAGAGGGTGCTGCTAGGCCTAGATTTGGCTAGGAGATCCCCCAGAATTACAACTGAACTCCAGACAACAGAGATCTGTCCCCCTGGAGAAAATGGGTGGACTCTGTGGCCACTGCACAGCTGAGGCCTCTCCCCTCCCCAAACTCTGAACTCTTCAGACTTCACCACAGAATCTCCAGGAATTTCCCAACCTGGAGTGGGCAATCCTAGTTCCTGGCTCCAAACCTCTGCTATTTAAGCCATTCATACTGCAGGAGGAATCCTCCCCAATCCCAGATCCAGTTCTGTTTTTTTGCTTCTTCCTCCTCCCCCCCCCCGGCTATCAGCCAGTCTCTCACTGTCAGGCAGCGGGGCCTGGAGTAGATCTCTGTGGTGGCCATTTCGAAAGGTATTGGGGGGGGGATTCAACCCTCTCTGAGTTTTGGGGGTTTTGTGCTTTAAAAAAAAACTTTTTGGAGTCCCCTGAGTCTGTAGGAAAACCTGTTGAGGGAGAGTGTGACCTCTATCTGTGGAAATAAGTATCCACACACAGAGGGGGCTATTGAGAATTAGACATATAGATAACAACAACAACAACAATAACAATGGAATTTGGCCTTGACAAATGTGCAACATTAGCACTGAATAGAAGAAAGATCATCGAACAAGAAGAAATCAAAATAGGAAAACCTGTTGAGGGAGAGTGTGACCTCTATCTGTGGAAATAAGTATCCGCATCTTGGAGTCTTCGGATAGTATCTATATTTCATTTCTTCCCATACTTTAATTAGCGCCGCTTTTATAAATATCAAATTAATGACGAAGGAAAAGGCTATATCTTATGATGTACTACTGGATGAAAACAACAAATTAAGACCTCTAGAAAGATTAACAGGACAAAATATTTACTTAACATGGTGGGAGAAGGCGCAAGTACAAGATAGATACAATAAGGATAAAAACAATGAATTTACAACCAGTAAAACCGAATTGGACAAGATATGGCTGTCCTCCAATGATAAACTTATCCAAAAACTTTATAACCTTCTATTAGATGATTTCCAACATGACGAAAATATAAAAGATTCCATGATCCTTTGGATGAAAGATCTGGGAAAGACTATTCAGATGGAAGAATGGAAAAAGGTCTGGGAGTCTATGAAATTAATGAGGGCAGTAACATTTAAGGAAGATATATTTAAAATATTCCATAGATGGTATTGGACGCCAGAGAAGTTAGCAAAAGCATATAAAACAACGAATAAAAACTGTTGGAGATGCAAAACTAACGTGGGAACATTTATCCACATGTGGTGGAACTGCGAAAAAGTATTTAGTTTTTGGAAAAGTGTTCAGAAATTAATTGGCGAAGTGCTGCATATTGATTTAAAGTTACATCCGGAGACTTATTTGTTAAATATAATCCCAAATGATTATAAAGGGAAAAATGTGTATATACTAACATATCTGCTCACAGCGGCTAGAATTTTGATTGCTAAGAACTGGAAACAAGAAAAGATTCCTAAAAGAAAGGAATTAATAGAGAAACTTATAGAGGTCGCAGAAATAGACAAATTAACTGTAATTTTGCAAAGGAAAGATGATATGGTGTTTAAAGAAAGATGGGCAGATTTCTATAAATGGGTAAAAGATAAATCTTTGGAATAGACTCGACAAGATGTATGAAATGCAAATGTAAAAGATGTATATCTTATCTTGTATTGAAAAACCTAAATAAAAGGTTAAAAAAAAAAAGGAAATAAGTATCCGCACACAGAGGGGGCTATTGAGAATTAGACATATAGATAACAACAACAACAATAATAATGGAATTTGGCCTTGACAAATGTGCAACATTAGCACTGAATAGAAGAAAGATCATTGAACAAGAAGAAATCAAAATGCCAAACAACAACATCATCAAAACACTGGGTGTTGAAGAAAACTACAAGTATCTTGGAATGTTGGAAGCTGACAACATCAAACAAACCCTTTTAAGAAAAATACAACCAAGGAGTATTACCAAAGAATTAAAAAGATATTGTGAGCAAAATTAAGTGGAGGCAACATGCTAAAAGTAACTAACACGTGGGCAGTCCCAGTTCTAAGATACACAGCTGGCATTATCAATTGGAAGCAAGCAGAAGTAGAAGCAAAAGATTGCAAGACTTGCAAGATAATACCAAGGGGTATTACCAAAGAGTTAAAAAGACATTGTGAACAAAATTAAATGGAGCCAACACAGTAATGGTATCTAACATGTGGGCAGTCCCAGTTCTAAGATACACAGCTGGCATTATCAAGTGGAAGCAAGCAGAAGCAGAAGCAATAAATCACAAGACTCACAAGATAATGATGATGTATCACTCACTAGACCCTAGAAGTGATGTTGATGGTCTTTACTTACCAAGAAAATTAGGTGGAAGAGGTCTCTTGAAAGTTAAGCAAGCAGTTGAAGAAGAAAAATGAGCACTGAATGACGACACCAAGAAAACAAAGAGAAGCTTCTAGCTGGAGTGTACAATGCAGACTTATTTAAGGTTGCAGAAACCAAAAATTACAAAAAGATTGCAATCAAAACTCACTTTGACAACTGGAATGAAAAGCACTTGCATGAGCAATATCTGAAAGACACAGAGAATAAACTATGAATAAAAATATGAAAGCCAAGATTCAGAAGACGTGATGACAGCAAATGTGACTTTGAAAGACAAAGGATGAAACAATGTGACTTTGAAAGACAAAGGATGAAACAATCAACCACAGGTCAGTACCTGCAGTAAAATTGCTCAAACTGACTATAAAGAATGTCACAAGATAGTTGCAACCAGAGCTTTTTTTTCTGGGGGAACGCACCAGAATGGAATTCCAGAGCCTTAAAATGTTTAAAAAATCATGAGTTTTCAGTATATAGTATACAGGTTGAAAACTTCATTTCTCTCTTGAGAGTTCTGGCACCTCTTTTTCCAAATGTTGCACTGGAATCTTTACAAGAAGTATGGCTTACCATCATCTAGAAATTCATGGGAGCACAAACCAGACAAGATCACGGAGACTGATGAAACAAAGATTCTTTGGGACTTCCAATTACAAACAGATAAACACCTGGAGGGAGGGGCTGTAGCTCAATGGCGGATCATCCGCCTGGCATGCAGAAGGTCCCAAGTTCAATCCCTGGCATCTCCAGTTGAAAGGATCAGGTAGTATGTGATGTGAAAGACCTCAATCAGAGACTTTGGAGAGCCACTGCTGGTCTGAGTAGACAATAATGACTTTGATGGACCAATGGTCTGATTCCGTATAAGGCAGTTTCATATGTGGAGCATAACACTCCTGCTATCACAATTGTAGAAAAAATGAGAAATACGGTTTGGACCACTGACATTGCAATTCCAGGAGACAGCAGAAAAGAAAGAACAGGAGAAGATACCAAGACCTAGGGATAGAGTTAGAGCACCTCTGGAAGAAGAAGGTGACCATCGTGCCAGTTGTCATTGAAGCCCTTGGAGCAGTGCCTAGAAGTCTCAAGAAACACCTGGACATTCTGGGCATTGAACAGCAGAAGACAGCGCTGCTTGGAACAGCAAGAATCCTGCAAAGATACATCTGCAATTCCCAAGAACTTGGATAAATCTCAGATTGCAGGACACCATCTACCAGTCACCACCACCACCTCCACAATAACTTCAACTATTTACACAAACTCCGGAGCATGACGGAAGACAGGAGGGGCCTGGCGTGATGTGGTCCACGGGGTTGCAAAGAGTTGGACTCGACTGTGTGATTGAACAACAACAACTGGTTACAGGGAAGAATCTGGCAAAGAGGGGGAAATTGTTGAAAGACCTCAGCCTGAGACCCTGGAGAGTCACCACTGGTCTGAGTAGACAATACTGACCTTGATGGACCAAGGGTCTGATTCAGTATAAGGCAGCTTCATGTGTTTTTGAAAAAGGAAGAACTGGAAACACATTTTGGTCTCTGGAATTGCTGTCACTTGCAGCAATAACTCACAACCGGATTTTCTACTGAGGACAGGACTATCCAGTGCTACATTGGCACATCATTAGATATTGTTCTGTCATGGCGCTACGCAGGGCTATTTTTGGGCAGGAACGCACAAGAACGGAGTTCGGCTGGCTCCCAAGTTGGCCACGCCCAGCAGGAACTCATTACCATAACAGGCCACACCCAACAGCAGAAACTCATTAGGATTGGCTACATTAGGGGTGTGTGGCCTAACATGCAAAGGAGTTCCTGCTACCAAAAAGTCCTGGGTTTTGACAACAAACAGGGTAAACAGAATAACAAGCTAAAGGTGGGTGTGGCTGGATAACCACACTTCTGGTAACATGGGGGTGCATCCTAATGTGCTAATGAGCTGTGCTGTCAGGGGTGTGGCCCAATATGCTAATAAGTTTCTGCTGTTGGGTGTGGCCTACTATGTTAATAAGTTCCTGCTGGGCTTTTTCTACAAAAAGAGCCCTGGCTATGGCCATAATTTCCAACAGAACGATTCCTATAGGGCAACAACAGCCAACAACTGGTGGATGCATCCCAACTCGGCTATCCCCGTGAGACAGGGAGGATTACCAGCTCAGTCTGTTTAGCTTCGAGTCAGGTTTGAACTCAGGCATCTCTCTTTGCTACCCAACGTTCCCACCGATCCTCTCTTTCTGCCTTCCCCCCCAGCTTTGCTTACCTGCCGGTCCCCACGGGCTCCGTCCCCCTTGCCGCCCCCTGCCGGGCTGGAGGAGGAATGCCCGGCGAGGCGCGACGGGTGGCGAGGCTGCCAGGGCGGCTGTACCGGACCGTCGGCGTCACATTCCGCCAGCACTTGGTCCAGCAGCTCCGAGTCCGAGTCGGGCTCCCCAAGCGGTGGGAGAGGTGGCTGCGCGGCCGCTAGGCTGCACTTGGCTCCTGCGTCCGCCCTCTCCTGCTCTTCTGCCCGGCTCGGCCTGGCGGGGGCGCTGCCGCTCTCGCTGCCCCACCGCGATCTCCTCCAGCGCCGGGCAGGGCTGCAGCTACTGCTGCCTGTGCCCATGCCGGCGGAGGGCGAGGTGGGAGTTGCGGTGGCAGCCGCGGCTTCCTCCTCGATGGTTCGGCTTCTAGAGCGCAACTGTTGCTCGGCAGGCGGTGGCAGAAGAGGGTGGGATCCTGGTTCCTTGCCCTCTTCCTTGTTTTCCTCGTTGGTTTTTAAAAATCTGTTATTTATGGACTTAAGAGGGCGCCCCTCCCCACCATTAAAGGCGACAGCCGAGGCTGCAATCCTGTGCTGGTTGTGCCCAGCACACTCAAGGAAAAAGACTTCTTTGAAGTTAGATTCCATCCCCCCCCCCCGCCCCCATCCCAAGAATTTGGCCTTGAAGTAAACCAAATGGGTGTAACCTTTTCCCTCTGAATGAGACTGGTTTCAAAAATAGCCTTGGGGAGAAGTGTGTGCGGGTGTGCCTGCGCTTTTTACTAAGAGGAATTTTTTAAAAAGGAAATGCCTGATGGCCACTCAGAAATATCTGTGGTGAATTCTGGTGAGTGGAAACCATGACAAAATAAACAGATCCCGGATTAATGCCAAAGTGGAGAGTATTAAAGTGAATGGAAATCATCACTCAGGCAAGGAAAGTTTAGTTTTTCTCCTGTCTTTTGCTTGTACTCCAAAATAATTCTGGTATTAGATGTCTTTAAATATTGCCAGTTTTCTTTCTTAATAATATTTACCAGAGAGGATTAAGTTAGAAGTGAGGGTGTGGAATGGCTGTACCATAGGACCAAGGTTTTGGCTGTAAGTCTAAATAAATTTCCCAGGGAGTAAGTCGTTCTGAATGCAGTAAATGTATGGAATTGGGCTGACCTTTTGAGCATGATTTAGCACCCCCTACTTCATTTCACTGGTGGTGCTCAGTTCTGGTACATGAAACGATGCATAAAACAATGGCTTCTGAGCATGTGCAGAGAGCATTCTTTTTATGACTGAACAGAACCACATATTTGGGATGCAGGATACAGTCCAATTGGCAGGTGAGCATTGCTAGCATTTCACATTTTAGGCATTATAACAAACTTGGGTGGAGCATGAGAAATTGCAGGAGTGAGAGGCAATTTGGAACACTCCCCCATCCTCCAGGACTCTGAGTTTTCAGTGGATTAAGAAAGCTAATTCTTCCTCCCCCCTCCCCAACTCTCAGCATATCTACTAGGTGTGGTAGGTCCCCATTAAAACATTTACACCCGTTTTATTTTGCTTATGTGGTGGTGGGAAGTGCCATCAAGTTGCAAATAGACATTTGCCAGTGCCTGCCTCTGCATAATGACCCGACACCTTTTTTGGGGGGTGGGTGGGTGATCTCTTATCCAAGTTCTAACCAGGGCAAACCCTGCTTAGATTCCAAGATCTGAGGAGATCAGAGGGGTCTGAGCCACCCAGTTCAGGGTTTGGTTTATTTACAAAGTCATATTTGTCCATGCAGCTGGATAGTTCTCCAGGCACCTTTGTCTGTAGTGGGCCTGATTTTGCTACTTTTGGGATCAGAGTGGTATAGGGAGGCCAACCTCCAGGTGGGACCTGGAATTCTCCTGCAATTGCAACAGATTGCCAGACTACAAAGACCAGTTCCCCTGGAGGAAATGGCGGCTTCTAAGGCATCACAAATGACTATACATTCCATACAGAGAATGTGAACCAGCAGTACGTGGGTGAAGTAAAGCAGTAGCACAGAGAGGTATCCACAACCAGCAAGCAGTGTAGCCATTTCCTACTGGGGACACAGACACAGACACACACACACACACACACACACACACACACACACACACACACACACACAGAGTTTCCATTTTGTGGGGAAAGCATATAGCCCCAGAAGAGAGAAGTTTGGGCATGATTAACAATCCAAACTTTAGCACGCTTGTTCGTAAATAAGTTCTCATTCCATTTACTGGGAATCCAAAGAAGGATTTCTGCCTCGATCGTAACAGTTTACAGCCGGCACACACTACCATATGCACCATCTAACTGTGGCAAATTAAAACTGGAGAACACAACGTATTATTTGTCTAGCAATCTGAAATGGCACAATTATTGAACATGACTAAAATCTCCACAAACGTTCCAGATTTTGACTGAGATCCATTAGGAGTTCTGCATAGTGTTAGTATATCCCTGTATTGTTATTGAGATATAGCCCCACCATTTATCCTAAGTAAATGTGCTTTTGAGGCCTTTCTGCCTTGTACTTTCTGAGATGTTTTATTCTCATGGTCCAACTTATTGTCAGTCTGTAAAACAACAAGCTTTTCTAGTTCTTTTCCACTGCAGTGGTTGCTCTGGGTTCCTCAGGGCCACTAACAGAAATCCCCTTTGTGTGGCACATTTGTCTCCATCCATAGATCAGCGGTGAAGAACTTTTTAGGTGACAAAAAGATGAGCAAAGGCTGCTTAAACTTTCTGTGCCAAACTGCAGCAGCTGTTTGCTAATCCCTTTTCTCAAGAATGGGCACAGACACGGGAAACAGGAACAGACCACTCACCAGGGGCATAGCCAGGATTTTTAAAGTGGGGGGCATTTTAAAAAGTTGGGGGCAGGAGGCAGGTGGGGAGGGATTCACAACATGGAAGAAAACCAGGAGACGGGGTGTGTGTGGGTGCTGGACTGATCATCTCTACCTCGCCACTGTCACTTTGCTTCTTTCCCATGGCTGTATGGGAATGGAGGGCGGGGATGGCTAGTGAGCTCGCGGAGTGAGGGCAGGGGTGGGACTCCAGCAGGCAGGCGCGGTGAGGGCGATGGTGTGGCGTGGTGCGACTATTCACTTCAGCACGGGGGGGGGGAAGGATTTTTCAGGGGGCTTGGGCTGGATGGGAAGTCAGGGGGCCTTGGTGGTACGTCAGGGAGCTGGGCCCCGAGAGCCCCCACTGTAGCTAGAGGCCTGCCACTAACTTCTCTCTTATTAGCTTTTTTTTTTTAAAAAAGGGCAATATCAGCCACATATTAGCCTATAGCTAAGACTGAGGCCACAATTTGTGGAGGGTTAACCCTCCTGATACGTTTTTGCTGATTTAAACCAAGTCTTTCCCTTGTGCAGTTATTAGCTCTGGAAGAGAAAAAAAGGACAGGCAAAGATGGTGTGCCAGTCTTTTTCCCTGACAGAGCTAATAGTCCTGGGGGAGATGGTTGGTTCTGACTGGTCAAACCGCATAGGAGTAGGAGGAGGAGGAAGAAGAGGAAGGAAGTGTTAATCCCCTTCTCTCTTTGGCCCCATCTCAACTGAGACCACCTCCAAGCTCCAACCCATTGTTGGATATTGTGCTTTTGCTGCTTTGAAGCAATCATTCACAAGTGGGTTGCTTGGTCAACAAAATAAAACACAGTTGCAGATTATTGCAGCAGTGCAACGATAATGCAATAGCCACTGATGTGGACGCAGTGAGAGCTGGATTATAGGAATGGGTGGATGAGTGGCAACCCTGAAGTTCCTTTTTCACTCCATATTTCTTTCCTTCGGCTGCTGCTTTTTTGATAAGGTTGCCAGGTTCCCCCCTATCCATCAGTAGGGGTTGGGGGGCAGGGTTGCCAGATCTTGGCTTGGCAACTCCTGGAGATTTGGGGCTGGAGTAGGGCTGCCAAGTGGGTGTGGGGGGCGGGTAAACCCCTGCTTTGGAGGCCCGATTTCCGCCACCGTGGAATCGGGCCCCGGGGGGAACTCCGCCCCCTGAAGCGCAGCGTGGCTGCATCACCGGAGGTAACGCAACCACGTCAATCACGTTGGGGGTGTGGCCACGCCCTCAACGTGTCAACGTCGCGCGTCACTTCCGGTGATGTGCTGGCGGTGCATGCACGCGCACGTCCACCAACAGCTCCAGGAGCCCGGTGAGGCTCCCCCGCCGCCAAGGTAAATAGACTTGGCAACCCTAGGCTGGAGCCTGGGGATGGGAGGGACCTCAGTGGGGTGCAATGCCACAGAGTCCACCCTCCAAAGCATCCATTTTCTTCAGGGGAAGTGATCTCTGTAGTCTGGAGATGAGCTGTCTTTCCGGGGAGGTCCTACATGGCGGCTGGCATCCCTATTCTTTGAGGCTCCTCATAATCTGAGGTCCTAGTCTGTAGTCTATTTAGCTTCTGCTTCTGAGTAGACCTGTTTAGGATTGTTCCCTGAAAATCTCTCTCTTTTTTCTCCTGGGAGGACAGATAATTTGGGGGAAATTCTCTCCTTCTGGAAGATGAATTCAGGTGGGTAACCATGTTGGTCTGAAGCAACAGAACAAAGTTTGAGTCCAGTGGCACCTTTAAGATTAACAGTTTTATTCTCTCCAACTGTTATGTTTATATTTTTAGATCAATTGTAGGATAATTGTTAGTCCATGTATTAATGTTCTGAATGTATTTTTAATGGAATTTTTAATGGAATTGTTAATCCATGTATTAATGTTCTGAATGTATTTTTAATGGAATTTTCTCAATAAAACTTCAAAAAAATGTTTTTAAAAAATCAACAAACTTTAATTCTGGGTATAAGCTTTCATTTGTATCTGAAGAAGTGTGGATGCACACAAAAGCTTATACCCAGAATTAAATTTTTGTTAGTCTTAAAGGTGCCACTGCCACTGGATTCAAACTTTGTTCTATGTCTCGAAGATGGATTCAAACTTTGTTCTATTTCTCGAAGATGGATTCAAACTTTGTCCTATTTCTCAAAGATTTCCCTCCCTCTTAGCTTTCTGATGGTAATTCATGGCTCTGCGCTTCAGGAGCAGGTGGAGAGCTTGTATAAGGAACATTGTTACAGAAAGCTACCAAGAGTAGTCCGTGGCTCCTTAATAATTATAATTTAATTTGTGGCCTAAGTCCTGTGCACTAGTCCACAAAAGGTTTTGGCCACAGTGGTTAAGGTGCCACAAACATGTTAGTGTCGAACATAACAATTCTTCTGGAATGTTATAGAAGATGATTTCATATTCTTTTTAACCTATAATGCTGATTTATTTTAAAACAAACTACAGAGGGAAAATAAATGTTTTCAAACAGAACACCTTTGAAAGGGGCTGGCTTCAGTGCTACAGGCCTCAAAGGAAACAGTTATATGGAGGAAGGATCTGTGAATTAGACTGTGAGCCAGGGACTCACACAATCAAATATTCGAGGTTTGGTCAATTTACAGACTGACCGGACTTGGTTTAAATCAATGGCATTTTGTCAATATTTTGGCAAAATGGATAATGGTTTTATTCTCATGGAACCTTGTTATACACAACATTCTCTTTAAGGCATGTTATATGGTCATTGCATGGAGTAGCTGTACAATGGTCTTGCTTCCTGCATAATTCAGTCTTTT